ATATTGACCATTTCTTTTACAATTCAAATGTAAAATAAAAAACTGTTTGAGATATGATGGCAATTTCTTGGGCATCATTTTTTAATTTTTAAGTTCTTTGTCCTTATAGGATGGTATCAACATATATACTACACCAGCTGTCACATATTTAATACTGATATACAAAATCTTACTGGCATACTCATGCCTGATATAATGCATACATTTAGTTTTGATAAAATCAGTCAAACAGTTTTGAGGTTGTGCCTAAGAAGCCTGTTTCCTTCGCATTCAAGGCAACTTTTACATGGGGATAAATAGGAGTTTTAATTGTCATTACCTATAGGGCACAACAAAACTCCTCTGGAAAAATATGTAACATTTCGTTGAGATTAACAAACATCACACAACCATTATTATACTTAATATTCAGTCTACGAGAAAGTCTGGTTTCATATACATGATGTACCTCATTAATGATATCTAAGTATATAGTTACAGTCTTTAAAGGATTTGTGTCCCAGAAGTCAGCAACTATACCATTCAGGTTCTTTTCATTATTTGCTTTGACATCACCAGAACACTAACGAACCTGACAGTGACTAGTAATAGGAAGGGTCATGGAGACAGAAACCTGTTACCAACCTACAAACCACCCAACCTACCAACCTACCAACCACCCAACCTACCAACCTACCAACCACCCAACCTACCAACCACCCAATCTCCAAACCATAAACTCCCTGGATGTCCCCAGAACACTGACATTTGTCAGTGAGACAATGCCTAGTATAGGAAGAGTCAAGGAGATGGAAACCTGCAACCAACCTACCAACCACCCAACCTACCAACCTACCAACCACCAAACCTACCAACCATAAACTCCCTGGATGTCCTCAGAACACTGACATTTGTCAGTGAGACAATGCCTAGTAAAGGAAGAGTCATGGAGACAGAAATCTGTATCAAACCTACCAACCACCAAACCTACCAACCAACCAACCACACAACCTACCAACAACACAACCTACCAACCATAAACTCCCTGGATGTCCCCAGAACACATACATTTGTCAGTGAGACAATGCCTAGTATAGGAAGAGTCAAGGAGATGGAAACCTGCAACCAACCTACCAACCACCCAACCTACCAACCTACCAACCACCAAACCTACCAACCACCCAACCTACCAACCATAAACTCCCTGGATGTCCTCAGAACACTGACATTTGTCAGTGAGACAATGCCTAGTAAAGGAAGAGTCATGGAGACAGAAATCTGTATCAAACCTACCAACCACCAAACCTACCAACCTACCAACCTACCAACCACCCAACCTGCCAATTATAAACTCCCTGGATGTCCCCAGAACACTGACATTTGTCAGTGAGACAACGCCTAGCAATAGGAAGAGTCATGGAAATCATTCAATGCCATTTTATCGACAGGATTGATTCATGAACAGATTGCTATCAGAACAAACAAAACAAAAAAATGCAAGCTAGTTATTAATTCAAGACATTTTGTGAATAATCCATTCCACTCCAACAACAGATCCCAGAGGATCTAGGTGCCCATCATTGTTTGATCTTTATTTGCTCTTTGAAAGTTGGATCTTTTCCTTTTTTCTGTTCTCTTCTCTGTTTTTTCTTAATGATAACAAATTTTGAAAATTCCTTAGCAGAAATAGTAATGATAATCTTTACCTGCAAAATCTAAATGGCGGCCTTAAAGCCATTCTTTTAATTCTGATCAGACCCAAAATCAAACAGGCACAAGTAGAGACCAAAGGGAACATACATATAAAATTTGAGAGAGATCCATTCAATACTTTACTAAGCAAAATCCAAGATGGCTGCCTGTCGCCCATTTTGTTTTTCTGATCAGTTTCAAACTAAAACAAGCACAACTAGGGACCAAGAGGAACCTATACATAAAATTTAAGAAAGATCTATGCTGTAGTCATCAAGAAAAAGTAATAACAATCTTTCAAATCCAAAATCCAAGATGGCCGCCTTACAGTTAACTGTTTTTTCTGATCAAACTCAAAATCAATTGGGCACAACAAGGAAACAAGGGGAACCTATATATAAAATTTCAAAAACATCCATTGTGTACATCTCAAGAAATAGCGAAAACAAACTTTCAAAGTCAAAATCCAAGATGTCCACCTCTCTGCCATTTTGTTTTTCTGATCAAAATCAAACAAGCACAACTAGAGACCAAGGGGAACCCACATATGAAATCTGAGAGCGATCCATGAAGTTCTTCTCAAGAAAAAGCAATAACAAACTTCATTGAAAAAATGTAAGATGGCCCCTTGTCAGCCATTTTGATATCTCTGACCAGTCCCAAAATCACACAGATACAACTAGGGACCAAGGGGAACCTACATATGAAATCTGAGAAAAATCCACCCAGTACTTCTCAAGAAAAAGCAATAACAAAAGCTGTTTACTATTAACAGTTGACTACACCTTATCTGGGTATAAACCGATGATTGCTGAGGTCAGTAACATCGGTAAACATTGGGGATTTTGTGCGGAAGTTCTTAATTACACCCCTCATACCTTTAGTTAACAATTTGTTATTTGAGTTATCCAGACCTTGAACAAAGTTGAGGATAAAGTAATTTTTTTAATCAGATATTTGTGCAAATTTTGGGTAAAAAACTGCTTATACATTCAGTAATTAAATCCAAGCCAAACAGATGATTAAAATTATTTGGTAAGAAAATACTGGAGACATATTATTAAAAAGAGACACAGACCCAATCCAATGATTCACACACCTGTTGGTTTATCATTTTTATGATTCTAAGGAAACATAAAACAACACTACAAAATATCATTTAACTAACTGCTGCTGAAAATGCACCATTTTGTGCAATAGTTATTAAACTCAAGACTGCAACTTGAGTTGAGAAAAAAAATTCTAATCTGTTGGCAGTCTGTATGTACAGGTGCATCGCGGTGGAAACATCAATATCGTGTGAACAGGCTGATAGTACGAGTTTTTGTGTGGGTAACTTCCGCCAACACTGAGGTATATAGGTATAGTTGTAGGTCTGTGGCGGAAGATCTCTGATAATACTTTGCTTGTCTTCATATCATCATGCAAGGTAATATTGATAGAGAAAAAGAAGACAGAAATACCAAGGATTGCCAAACTGATTTGGTAGAGGATATCAGACGAGGAGGGCACACTGCTCACATCTGTGCCAGAGGGGTATTGTGAATAGTTTTATCTACAGACAGCCGGATACCTGATCTACAAGCATGTACTGCCAGCCTCTGAACCCATTCATAAAAATCTGAACTCTTATATATTCAAATTGCTTCCTAGAGTCGACATATTTCATTAATTTACCACATAAATTTTCAACAAAGTCATATATCACTTCTTTACTATATACCCAAATCCTCCAAGAGGAAAAAAGATCTGGTAAAAATTGAAAATATTTTGGATAAATCCTCAATTAGTCCCTTGCTTTCATTCCACCTGCAGAAAACTCACATGGCTGGATCACATACATGTAGATATGCCCACATTATGGTCATTGGGGAATCAAACCCTAGTGGCATTTATTAGAATATAAATGACATGTAAGTGCATTATTATCAGATGGCACATCTAAAATCACATTTCATTAGGAACAAATTAATTATAAGATCCGGATTGTTGGTTAGTCAAGTGGTAATTCACTTCACATTTAACTAGACGTTCAGGTTTTTATTTCCGGAACTAGATGTGAAAAAGTACAAGGTCACCTGCTAGATCTTGTGAGCTTTCCCTCAGTTTGTCTCTGGTTTCCTTCCACCCAGACAACAAAAGTTGTAAAAAAAATAATACAAATTTTATATAACAAAATATATTACAGAATGTCAAACCAGCTTTACGTGGCGGGTTCTGTCAATGAAGCAGAAGATGCCTACCCTTCCAGAACACCTGGTCTTATTCTCCTTGTACTTTTTCAGAAGTCTCTTTGTAAATCATTCTTTTGTTCATACTTTTCAATAAAGTTTCAGCAAATTTTGTGCTTAGAGTAAGATTCTGCTAACGTATCTGTTTTGCTTTGTTGTTTCAGTAAAACCAACATGTAAATATATTTTCCATTACGAAGAAAATGTGAAGAAAAGTAATGCATGAATCATCTAAACATGACTGATCATCTCTGGAGTCATTGATTACATATTATACCAATATGTAGTCTTTTTATATCTCCTTAAGTACATAAGTCATGATACAGGCTATATTTAAACACTACTTCAGGCAATATTAATACATCAACCCTGAGATCAATGAGCCCGTACATGCCTCACAGTAATTAGGCAAATGTAACTTTCATGCAAGTTCTATAAAAAAATCCTCATGTACTTTACAAGTATCTACATGATATCTGGTAGTGATACGGAACATGTCCTTGTTAAGACCATTTACTTATCTATAAACATTAAATCACCTGTTCATGCAAATCACCTTTTACAGTAAATGCCCTGTACAAACAACCTCTCTTTAAAGACCACCTCAAGCTCTCTATAGCAGTAGATTATCTATTTGTACAAACTACCATAGTAAACATATAGACAACCTCTCTTTAAAGACCATCTCAAGCTCTCTATAACAGTAGATTATCTATTGTACAAACCACCATTGTATATAGACAACCTCTCTTTAAAGACCATCTCAAGCTCTCTATAACAGTAGATTATCTATTGTACAAACCACCATTGTATATAGACAACCTCTCTTTAAAGACCATCTCAAGCTCTCTATAACAGTAGATTATCTATTGTACAAACCACCATTGTAAACATAGAAAACCTCTCTTTAAAGACCATCTCAAGCTCTCTATAGCTGGAGATTATCTTTTTGCATAAACTACCATTGTAAACACATAGACAACCTTTCTTTAAAGACCATCTCTATAACAGTATCTAGATTACTTGTACACTTTTATGTACTAACATCTCTATACTGACCACCTGTTAATACATATGATATTGATGTGGTTGACCTACCTGGTCACTTGGAGGTTATCCCTTAATTTGGTGTAAAACTGTTCGAGCTGGACCTCGGTCAGTAAGTCGTACAGCCATTCCTGACCGTCTTCCTCACTCATCCTGTCTGACTGGACATTGGCAGCAACACTGAAAAGAATTTTTATAAAGTTAAAACAATGATGACTTCATCAATTAACATCGCCATTTTGTTGTTGTTTTATTTTGAAAAGTTCAAACTTTCCCCATTTTGATGTGGAAAAGATATTCAGAAAAAAAAAACATAATTTCATGTAAGGATTAACTTTCCATTTTGTTTAGGCCATCAAGGATTACAACAATTTAATTCAGGTAAACTGATTCATTGGCAAAACACCAATGATTAAAATGAACAACAAAATTTCAAAGATTTCACACATCTTTATAAATCATTTGCTAAATACAAAATTCCAACAATGATACCAATGAGTTTCCAAACCAGAAAACCTCAAAAGCTTGACAAAGATATACACCAAGACCATATTTCAAATGGACTTGATTTTCCAGAGGTATAACATGATGTGTGAAATTCAAGCCCAGTTTGTGATACAAAGACTTTGTATATTACAATTTACAAAAAATTATATTTGGGTCTGATAAACATATATATCACAAGAGTAAATACATTGGTTGGTTTGATATGAAATCTCCATCATGATCATCAGCTATGATAAACAAATATTGGGTCAGACTCTGGCCAATCACAATGTTAAATCTGAAAGGGGCCCTTCGAAATTGGTATATTCAAGGATATCAAATTTTATAATAATGAAAGCACACATTTCATTTGTTATCCTCTCAACATGGTTGCATCTAATTAAATAATGTCTCTCCTGTGTGTGAGCTTCATGTGTTTGGTGTGTGATCATGAAGACACCTTTATAGTGCTATCTCACTGAAGTATATTGCCACAGACCTACAGTTGGACATTCATATAGCCACATCATATATTGATGACTGGTGAACCAACGGTCCAACTTTCAAAATATGCTAAGCATCAAGAGGTTGTAGCAAATTATTAGGGAGACATTAGGCAGCAGGTACAATCCTTATACAGGGCAGAATAAATATCACAGATTTACTTATATAATTTAGATTACATAGAGTCAAAATACTACTTATATTCACGCATATCGACGTTTAAATACATTATATGAAGTACCTGCTGTTAAGGTGATCAGTGCATATTGTAGAAACACAACTAAATAAACAGAAAACTATAGTTTAACTTGTGCAATATGGCCAAGCCTTGGACTCACCATTACGCCCCTAAATTGTAGTAAATTCTTATAGATAGATAAAGCTGCACGGGGACCAACCATGATAAACCTCCTTAAGAGGACATTTCAAGGTCATAGTGTTGAAAAGCCTGATAATTTCACTTAATGATAAATCGTCTCGTAAATTAGGTGATATATTTAAATGACTGCATGCACCATATGATATATATTTACATTAGTGGGTTATAATTATATAAACAGCCTGCACCGACTTGCAATCTTGAGCTCGTCCATTTCTATATGCATGCATCAGAAGTTAAACCATTAAATAACTTAAATAATTTTAACACAAAGTAATAAATATAATTCTTTAACGGTAAATTTCCATTTTAGCGGTAAATCTCATATTACCACTTTTTGTACTGAAAGTATTACACTGTAATTTAATAGCACTAACCTGTATATGCTACTTATCTAATAATTACTGTGGATATGTAGATTTTTTCATTTGGCTACATTTTGTCAAAATTTGAAGTACTTTCTTTAATCAGAACAATCAATTGATATATTCGATGATTGAAACCTGAAATATTGATATTTGTCACTTATTTATGTTAAGCCTTTATAAAATGTGTACCAGCGACATGAACAATGAACAAAACATATTAATCTTTAATTTGTTACAGGTGTGATTGAATTAATCCATAGATTATTTCATAGATAAATATACCGAAGATTTATATCAATATTCACAGGTAAGTTTGTACCAAGTTTCAAAGTTGTACACAAGTAAGACAATTGATATAGATGAAACATTACATATCTGTGAATTACTGATTATCTACGATAATTGATATCGATGAAACATTATATATCTGTGAATTACTGATTATCTACGATAATTGATATAGATAAAACATTATATATTTGTGAATTACTAATTATCTAAGGTAAGACTTCATTTTGCATCCCCTCATCTAAAAAAGCCAAATGTGTCCTAACTAATAATTAACAGATATTTTACCTACCAGGTATATATATGTTTATTCTGTATATGTGTTAGTCTTGTATGGTGTGCCTTTAAAACTGAACCCTTTTCAGGCACTATAAAAAAAATATAAACTTTATTTATTTTACATCAATTGCGAAACAAGTTATTTCAACTTGTACTTATCACTCTTGTTGGCCGGGATGTCAGCGTGCGATGGGTCTTATTGTGGGAGGAAACTTGAGTACCCAGGGAAAACCCACGTTGTCGGGCAGGTGACCCCTACCTTTTCACGTCCGTTCCAGGAGTCGAACCCCGGTGAAAGGTAAGTGAGTTACCACTGCGCCACCCAACCATCCAAACAGATGATTCATACACATGGATATATTATTCTAATAAATATGATACTGGAGTGCAAATGGAAGGCTTTCTGTAATGTTATGTAAGTACATCTAATTCTATGTGGTGATTGTGAAATAATAACTGAAGTGAACATAGTATCTCACGCAACAGCATAACTTTACTGTAAACAAGGTTTTGAGCATGCACAGACTATTTCCACAGCCTGCTTTTAGTGAACACAATTAAGAATCCAATGTAATTAGTCTGATCTTTCCAGTAACTAAAATCAGTCCTTTGTAACTTGTTCTTTCTTACTCATCACAATGACATTGTGGTTACAACAAAAACACAAACAAGTAAGCAATTTTGTTTCAAACAAAATTGTATTGAGATATGTATTTTTGGACATTTTAAATTGTGCTTTCATGTCCAATTTTACATCTTTGCATAAATGACCATTTTTCAAAAATCTTTTAGAGCACAATATAGAGAGTTGTAGCCAAATCACAAGAGGAACTTGTATATATATGTAGAGTCATAATAGTGTAAAATGCATGGGTATTGATACATTGGGTTCTGTGTTACATCTTAAAATTATTTGAAAGCAAAAAAATGATGAAAGAAATATGTGTTATTTTCCTTAAATATGGAGTTTCCCTCTTGGTACTTCAACAATCTTGATCCAGTTCATATCTTATCTTTTTTACATTCAATAAAGAAAATATTATTTGACACCAAGCATTTGAGATATAACAGGAATTCCTGAACGACGAATACTGCATCATATAGGAGATCACCTATCAAACTGATATCTTAATGACATGAAATAGCAATCTTCCATTACCTGATAGAGTTAGTATGGGTTGTTTGTCCCTCCTTCCCTTTTCCACTTTCTACATTCCGACAATCTTTTATCACTACACAAGACTTACTACGCGGAATTGATCTAACATAATGTTTTTCACATTTTCGATTCTCTTCTGTGTTCATTTCATCTACATTGAGTCTTTTCCGGTTATCCACTTGGTCCAAACTACACTTTTGGTTTAATTTGTCAACAGACTTTGATGACGACATCCTGAAAGTGGGTTTACAATTAATAAATCTTTGTTCATGATTACAATGATCTTTTTCTGATGAGCTGGCTTGAAACTTGAGTTTATATTTCCGCAACTTGTTGAATTTGTCTTCAAGACCACTTAATTTAATGGGTTTTCCCATGATCTAGCAGTATAAGTACAGAACAGAAGTTACTGAAAGGTCCACACGAATGTCACACATTTGTACATGTCCAACACAGCAAACTTCAACACAGCCTAAACAAATCCTGCTAGAGAATAAACCAGATTCACACACTTTTACTACAATATATTAAAACAGAATCATTAAACATGGTTCTAAGCAACACCAACATGTAATCACGTTGAAAGGGTCCTTGAAAAAAACAGGCATCCTTTCAATAAAAAAAAACCGAAATGGAAAACAACTTTCATATTGATTATCAGCATATCCTTCACAGATCAATTCAATTTGTGCCAGAGCACTGTGTAGATGTAGCCTGATGGCTGGAAACGTATTTGATGAATGTAGCTTGCTTTTACTAACATTTTCTGCATTTCCCCGATTACACAGGAGATCTACAAGTTCCCCAACTACATCTCTATATATCCAGGACTATTATAAATACAGACAGTTTTCCATTGACCAAATGTCACAACTCAGAGACTCCCATATAGACCTGCTATGTTGTAGTGAGGGGGAGACTCAGAGTGTGTAACATAAGTGGTATGGTGCTGTGTAATCAACACAGGAGATGAAAATCCTTCTTATGTGATTATTTTAAAGATATTATTTTATGATATACATGTATAAAAAAAATCAAATCAAATTATATTTTAAAAATGAAATTGTTATCAGTAAATGTATCATTTATCAACAGCAAAAAGCTTTTTTAAGTACCCACCAAAATCAATAATGCACTATCTAAAACTAAAGAATACACCAGGGCCCAACAATTCATAGTGTACAAAAAGTCTTGGTAACTTATATAGGTGAAACTATGCAGGTGGTTCTGAACCTTTGTTGGAATAGAGAAAGTCTGGGTAGCTATATAGGAGGGTCTGAACCTCAGTAGGAATAGAGAAAGTCAGGGTAACTATATAGGAGGGTCTGAGCCTCAGTAGGAATAAAGAAAGTCAGGGTAGCTATATAGGAGGTTCTGAATCTCTATAGGAATAGAGAAAGTCTGGGTAGCTATATAGGAGGTTCTGAACCTCAGTAGGAATAGAGAAGTTCTGGGTAACTATATAGGAGGTTCTGAACCTTTGTTGGAATAGAGAAAGTCTGGGTAGCTATATAGGAGGTTCTGAACCTCAGTAGGAATAGAGAAAGTCAGGGTAGCTATATAGGAGGTTCTGAACCTCAGTAGGAATAGAGAAGTTCTGGGTAACTATATAGGAGGTTCTGAACCTCTGTAGGAATAGAGAAAGTCAGGGTAGCTATATAGGAGGGTCTGAACCTCAGTAGGAATAGA